CCCGGGCTCGGCGCGCCCGGCCACCAATGGGAGGGGCGCGCCCGGTGCGCGCGCCCGACGCCGCGGGGTCCCGGCGCGGTCCCCGGGACTGGCGGAGGAGGCAGGCGGAAGGGACGCCGCGCCCAAGCCGCGCCTCTGGATGGCGACAGAGACGGCCGGGCGCGCCCGCTGCCTGGGCACCACGCGGGGAGGACTGGCCAGGCCAGCGCGAAGTTTTCGGACTTGGGCTGCGTGGCCCGTGGGCCCCAGGCGCCCCGACTCCTTTCCGCAGAGGCCTGCAACACCGAGGCCCAGAGTTTACTGTAAGTACAGGGTGCTTTGGGCCCTTTCCCCAGATGCGCCCTGTCACCCCTGTTCTGGGTTGTGCGCTGGTGTCCCCGAACCCACAAAGAGTGCAGCCTCAAACCCACGCAGAGTCTTCTCCCTAGGTGGAGCCCAGCCAGGCAGGGACACATGTCCCTGAGAGCATCCTCCTTTGTCCTCCGTGGGGCACCTCCAGGTCTGTGCACCGCCCTGGGCCTTGGTAAACTGTCTCCCTGCCCATCACCTGACAAGGACCCAGTCTTGTGTCTCCAAACTCCGGGTCCAGGGGCTGGTCTCCTCAGGGTGGACTTTGAGCAAGGTAACAATGAGTATAATTCATTTTATTTGCATAGTTAATTGTCATCAGCAAAACCGATTCATTCCTATCAACAAGAGGAGAGTGGATCAAGTATGTCCTTTGAGGTCAGATTCCCCAACCCTACTCCTCCCTCTCATGTCCCCCCAGCAAGACAAGCTCCCAAGACCAGATGCTCAGCAGATGGCCCTGCTACCCAGGGAGACTCTGGGCCCTGCAGTCTGCCGCTGCACCGCCCACCCCAAACACTGCCTTCCTGCGGGTCAGTGCTCGTTCCAATATGAGCTCATCCTTCCTGATTCAGAGGATCTTCTGATCCTGCACAAGGAGGGGGAACTTCCAAGACCCCATGAGGTCTTGTTAGAACCGGAGAACCCTTTCCCAGGAGCCACTAGAGGGCCTGAAGCAAAAATGGTCACCAGCAGCCCCCCTTCACCTCAGGTCCTGGCCAACTGGGCCGATAAGGAGGCCATGGCGTCTGTGATCACAGCTGCTCAGAACCTGCTATGGGCGCGAGGGACCTGCACACGCACACACACGCACCATGCACCGTGCACAAAACACACACACACCGAACACACGCACCGTGCACACACAAGAAACACACACACACCGTATACACACGTGCACCACACAACCATATACACGCATGCACACCACGCACATGCACACACATACACACATGCATGTGCGGTACCTACATGCCACACACACACACACACACACACACACACACTTTCACTCACACGCGCACGTGCGCACACAACACCCGGTGCAGAGGAAACCAAAGCAGGCAGGAATAGTGGCCAGGCCACACCTCACCCAGTCCCGTGCGTGGCTCAGTGAGGAACCCTCGCCAGAGGCTGTAATGTGATTGTGTGCAGCAGGATGGTTTTCGTAAATTTTCTATTCCTGATTAAAACGGTCTGACTTCCTTCTCCGTATCTTCCCAGTGCAGCGTCCGGGCTCCCTTTGCTGGCATGCAGGTGCTGCAGACCTGGCGCTCCTGAAAACCTGAGGGAGGACAGGCGGGAGCCCTGGTCCCGAGGGTGCTGGGCTGGGGTTCGCCCCTGGGCCAGGGAGGGGCTCCCTCGCTTATAGTCCCTGCAGCCCCCCAGGGGTGCCTGCCTCTCTAGCTCTAAGTCCCCCCTTTGACGGAAGCCTTTTATCCTGTTAAAAGGGATGTGACTTTTTAAAACGTGATACGTTCCCTTTCATCCCGTCCACCCTGATCTCCTCTCGTGTTGTGGGCCTTCCTTCATCCAGCGTCTATTCCTTGAGCACCTTCTAGATGCTGTCGCTGGAGGAGGGGAGTTCAACAAGACACACAATTTCTGTCCCCTGGAAATGTGTGCTTGGTTTGGGAAACAGGTGAGGAAACCAGCACTTACAGCGCGGGGTGGTGGGCGCCATGATGGGGGCTGAAGGCCGGGCAGCAGGTGTGGGGCGCAGGGAGGGTGGGCCAGGGAAGCTTCCCTTGGTGGGTTTACAGGTTTCCTGTGCCATCCTTAGGACAAACATGCACACACACACACATGTGAAATGCCAGTTTCACAAAACAATACCTACACTCTCAATACTCGTGGTATTTTCCATTCCATCCTAATTCATTTCCTAAAACACTGACCGCCCACCGATGGTTGTGTTTACCGTAATTTTCTCTGCTTGGCAAGCACTGCTCCGGGAGAGATGTGGTCTGCGTTGAATTTGGGAGGATACATTGGAGATGTCACACCAAAGGTTGGAGGGCAACAGTGATGGTGGCCAGTGGGGAGCGCCCCAAGAAGAGGGAGGACGCGGTGAGCGGCGTGGCCTGCTTTCTCTCGGAGCTCACACCCCGAGATTTCTGTGGCTGTGACATTAGCATTTGATGTGTTAAAGGAAAAGGTATTCAGAGACACTCGTGGGGCAGGCCAGGTGCAGGGCCGTCCAGATGGACAGAAGGGCCCTTGTGACAAGATTGTGCCGTGGGGGAGAGCCTGCGCGGTGAGGGAGTTCTGGCCACACCGGCCTGACGGGATCATGGCTGAAGGCCGACCAGGCGACCAGACATCTGCAGGGGGCGGTGGAGGGTGGCGAGGCTGGGCGGCTGTGTGGGGGGGGCACGCGGGGGGGGAGCCTTGGTTGAACTGACTTAGCGGGGTTCTTGCTAAAACCGGATCGCACAAGGAGGTGCCCAGGTGGGCCTCAGAGAAGGGTCGGGAGCCTGACCAGAGTTTGGTCAAGCAAAGAATGTTTGTCAGACAGGAGCACTTCATGAATCTGGAGCATATTGACCAAGTCCGTGCTGGGTCCGGACAACCCTACCAGGAAGAAGAAAGCGAACAGAGCCCGTGGTGCCTGTGGCTTGGAGTCCACGGATGGTGGCGAGTCTGGAACCCAGTGAGGCTGGGCAGGGCTGAGGCCGTGGGATGAGAGAGCAAACTGATGCGTGCAGTGTCCTGACAAGGGAGGACAGGTCGCTAGAAGGCACAGCTGGGATGCAGGCTGGAGGCAAGGGCAGGTGCTGGTGTCTCCCGGGGACTGGAAATTGAGCATGGGGGGTGCGTAGAACGCTCAGTTCTGTTGCTAGGAAACAGAAAGCGCAGCTCCGGATCCCAAAGCGTGCTGCCGAGTGACAGTTTGCTGTTGTTGATTGGCTGGTTGCAGAGACTGGCCAGAACCAACAGTCCAACTCTAAAATCGAGTAAGTTTAGTAGAGACTCAGTCCCCACCCTCGCGCCACGCCTAGCTAACCAGAGATGCTGTCCTGCAGCCTTGGGCAGGTCCTGGGTCCCCCTGTGCCCCATGCCGCGTCCTGGCCCACATAGGGGGCGTCATGCATCCCAGATGGCTCGGGGCCATGGGAGCCCCAGACACGCAGTGTGGCCCGTGGTAGAGGAGTGGCGCATGAGGGTGGTCGGCCGTGGCACCCACTCCAGGTCTGGGCAGGGTACGTCAGCGTCCCCTCCACGACGTGTGTGCAGTTGTCCCTGCTCTGCTTTGAAACACAGGGATGCTGCTGTGGTTTCCTGTTCTCCGCCCCCCCCCCCCGCCCCGTGCTGGGCGTGGGACATTTGTCATTGACGTCAGGGGCTGCCGGGCTGACCGAGAGATTCCCAGCTGGACGTTTAACTGGGTGAGATTTGGGGGTGTCTGCTGGGGCAATGGGGAGGGCAGTGTACTTTGTGGAAAAGCAGGCACGGTTTTGTGAAGGAGATACAGGAGTCTGTGTATGGCAGGCCGCTAACGGGGTCGACCGTCCTGGGCCTGTCGGTTCCTCTAGAAAGAGCTGCAGGTTCTCCTTTGCGAGCCCACCGCCGGCCACAATGTGTCCTGTGTGCAGTTTGCAGAGCTGCCCCTGAGCACCGAGGGATGCGGGCGCGGGGAGCGAGGAGGCGGGACAGCCGTCCTCAGCAGGTGTAGAAGTCCAGGTGAGACAGGTGCTGGTCAGGTGGGGCCAGGTGGGGACGGCGACGTCAGTGAGGCCACTTCTCTGCGGGCGTTCGGGCTGATGGAGGAGTTGCAGCCCCTCAGGCAGGAGGCGTGACCGGGCCGAAGGTCCGCAGGTGCAGACCGCCGACCGCAAGTCCCGTGCGCACAGAGGGGCCTGGAATTTCAGCCCCAGACACAGTCTTTCACAGATCGGTAGATGGAATCAGCGCATTATTTTTAGGAGCAATTACCCATTTCACCCACCCAGTGTCAATGATGAGAAGTAGTATTTTTCTGTCCCGTAGTATGTTCCACGCACCATTCCAAGCCCTTTGCCTACAGAGAGGGAGCACTGAACACCTGTGCTTAGGTGTGCACGCCGTGACATGGAGGGGCCGAGGGCGGGCTCCGGCGCCGGGCACGGTGGCACCGGGGAGGGGGGGTGGCTGAGGCTGAAGCCGGCAGCCCAGCTCCAGATAGCGCTCCGGAGCCGCTGAATTATGTTCATGTAGAGACAGTTTTGTAAAATGGACGGACGAGACGGAGAAAGGAAACGTCCAACTGTTGTGCCCCCAGAGTGAACCACACTGAGCATTTTGTTGGTAATGTTACTTGTTTCGTTGGCACACTGCTCTGTCGGTCTGTGGTAAACAGTGTCCTTTAGGAGGTGGCAAGGACTATCTCATGCTAGTCTATATTCTTCCAGACGCTGTTTTCACGGCACCGGGAGATTCTGTCGTGCATA